TTTTTTTTTTTTTTTGAGACAGAGTCTTGCTCTGTCACCCAGGCTGGAGTGCAGTGACACTATCCCGGCTCACTGCAGCCTTGAACTCCCTGGCTCAAGCAATCGTCCTGCTTTAGCCTCCCTCCCAAAGTGTTGGGATTATGGGTATAAGCCACTGGGTGCAACCTGTATTTTTGTTTTAAAGAAGTCGTTGGTGAAGTATGCACCAATTTGGATATATACATAAAACTGCTCACCCACTTATTCAGCATATTTTCAGTGATTATGATAGTAGTTATTTGCTTTTTACCTTCTATTTTCTTAAATTATACTTCTATATAAATATCACTTATACTTTTAAATTATTTTGAATTGAATATGATTTTTTGTGTTGATCTAATACACTTAAATTAGACTTTTCTGGAAAGTGCAATGTCTCTATAGAATTTACCAAGCTTTCAGAAATTTATAGCAAAATTTCCTTTTAAACTGACGACATTGATTCTCTGTACTTAGTAGAAAAATATAAGCTGTCAACAATATAATTTCATCAAAGTCCTCAGTATAAAAAGGTTTAAGTGGTTGTAGTATGAACTTTTGAAAATGATTTTATTTTTATCATAAGAAGTTTAAATATATGTGTAGAAAAAACTATACCCAATATACCAAAATATTGACAGTAGCTACTTCAGCATAATTATAGGCAATTTCCCTCCTGATTTAAAAAATGTTTTTTAAAAGAACCAGGATACAATCAAGTATGGTCATTAGGTTGTTATGTTCGTTTAGTCTCTTTTCATGACACGGACATTTGAAAAGGCCAGTCTTATATAATGCCCTACATTCTGGTGGGTGACTGTTTCCTCAAGGTGACATTTACCTTGTTTTTCTGCTACCTGAATTTCCTATCAATGAAGTGAGATAAAAAGACTTGTTTACATTCAGAATAATGTTTTTGGCAAGACCGTTTCATAGATGATGCCTCAAGCAATCCTCCTGCCTTGGCCTCCTAAAGTGTTGGGATTACAGGTGTGAGCCACCACTCCTGACCTATACTTCTTTTTAATTAGTATACTAGAGTTAGCATTTTCTCATACTTGGGAAATACTGACTCATACTGATTTGTAAATTTCTTCTTTAATGACTGCATATAATTTTCCCATAGTGTTGCACCAAAATTTTCTTTACTGTTCTTTTCTAGTAAATATTTAGAATGTTTTCAGTTGGTCAATGCCACAAATAATGTTCTAGAACATTTTGTGACTGAATCTTTAAGTGTTGAATTACTTCCATAGGATAGAATCTTTCTATTTTCTTAAAATTCCAATTAAGCATGTAACTACATAAAGTACCCTGGTTAGTGACTGGCTCACAGACATATAATAGGTTTTAATTAAATGCTAGCTTCTTTTTCTTTATGTCTAATGCCCATCTAGTGCTATCGTTTGCCTCATGCTACCTTATATTTTACTTCACTTTTTAATGTATATGCTCTTTTTTTTTCATCAGCCTTAAAAGCTCTTTGAGGTCAGATGTTGTGTTTTATTTGTGTATCCCTACAGCATTGATATGGTTTGACTCTGTGTCCCCACGCAAATCTTATCTTGAATTGTAATCCCCATAATTCCCATATGTCATGGAGGAAGCTGATGGGAGGTGATTGGATTGTGGAGGTGGTTCTGCTATGCTGTTCTTGTGACAGTGAGTGAGTTCTCACGAGATCTAATAGTTTTATACGTATTTGGAAAGTTCCTCCTTCCCTCGTCTCTTTTCTCTCCTGCCACCAGGTGAAGAAGGTCCTTGCTTCCCCTTTGCCTTCTGCCATGATTGTTAGTTTCCTGAGGCCTCCCTAGCCATGTGGAACTGTGAGTTAATTAAACTTGTTTTCTTTATTAATTACCCAGTCTTGGATATTTCTTTAGAGAAGTGTGATGGACTAATACAAGCATGTGTTATGTTTTAGTCATCATAGACACTACAGAAATGTTTGTTGATAATAGTGATTTAGTGATATTTAACTTTGTTGTGGCAAATTTAGTAGCTTTAAAGTGATTAGGCCCAGGTGCAGTGTCTCACATCTGTAATCCTAGCACTTTGGGAGGCCAAGACAGGTGGATCGCTTGAGCTCAGGAGTTCAAAACCAGCGTAGGCAACATGGCAAAACCCTGTCTCTATTAAAAAAAAAAAAATTAAAGTGATAAGAACTACCTCTGATTTTGGGGGCTTATGTCTAATGGAAGGCTTGCTTAGGTCTATTCCTCCTGTTAAAAGGCTTCATCCTTTTGTATGTATACAGTGGGATTGGGGAGGATGCTACTAATGTGCTTCTTAAATCAGTTCCATGTCATGGATAAGATATTGTTAACTTTGGTGGTCATAATTCTTTTATTTTAACCACACTCTACCATATATTTTGTGGTATGCTGGTGAGAGGCCCTTGGTGTGGACCCATGAGTAAGTAATGTGGCTGGATGTCCCCTCCAGAATGTGGCAGTGTCTTTTCTTGGGAAGATTTCATTGACAGATGAGTCTGCACAAAAGTGGTTAACATGCATATTGGGACAGTGAAATTAGGGGATGTAAAATGTTTATTAATCTAGAACAGTTATTATTTATTTGATATTGATAGATGTTAATGATACCCTAAAACAAATACTTTAAAAACTTTTTGTATGTTTAATTTTTTGTAGAGATGGGATCTCTCTATGTTGCCCAGGCTGGTCTCAAACTCCTGGA